TGGAGCGAGGAGGCCCACGTGTCCAGAGTTTGTAAGGTTCCCCCAGGTGAGTGTAATGTATAGCCAGGAGGGAGAAGTGCCCACTGAGTTATAATTAAGGCTGATTCTAAACCTGGTAGGGAACAGGAACTGCGGACGTAGCTTAGTTGGTGGAAGGCTGCCAGGTACGAAGCCGTCGGGTTTCACCCTCAACACCGCCTAAGTGCTTGTAATCCAAGAATTTAGGCGGAAGAGGCGAGGCCAGATATCAAAAGTACACACATAGCAAAAGCCAAGGCCACCGGGAGCTCTACGAGCCCTTATTCCAAAGAAAACTAGGCCCCCTCTCCACTATTTTCAAAAACTAACAGAGGGTTACGAAATCCAAAATATTTAAGAGAAAATCCATCTTCCACAAACCTGGAGGAAGACTTCAAGTTTCAGGCTATCTACCGTCATTGTTCTTGCATCTTGTCACCACATGGTGTCGCTGTTGACAACAGGCCTTTCCAAAAGGGCTGTGAAAATAGAAGCCCCATCAGGGCTTCGGTGGACCTGCTGCACCAACTAAGGTGACTCTCCCCAGGAGATTCAAGGGCACTTAGAGAATACTGCTCTCAAGCCAGGTGGAACCACTGTGAATCTGAACTGTATTTGTTCCCTGCGAAAACACCTCCCTCTATCCCCGCCTACTCCTTCCCCGTCAGTTTCTATATCTGGGTATTCACACTGACAGGAGCTGGCAGATTTTCATTTTCCACGGGCACACTGTTTGCCTTTTCCAGAGCAATAGGGTGACTTTGCCATCCTTCTGAGTCCAGCTGCTCTAATTGCATTCAATAGGTCGAGCATCCCTGGGTTATCATTAGTTCCGATGTCAGCGAGAGAAACCCTAATTCAAACTGTCTTAAACAATACAGCAATTGATTAGCTCACAAAACAAGAATTCCCAGAGGAGGTAGACTTTAAGTTTGGTTAATTCTGCAATTCTATACGTTTCAAAGGGTCCAATTGCTTTTAGTCTGTGCTGTTGTAAACATGATAAATTCACACTAAAATGAGTTTCCACCTGCCTATAAAGAGCAACCAGAACCACATACTTCCTCTCCCCTCAGAAACGTATCTGGTTTCGTTTTTTGTTTTATTGAGACAGATCTGCAGACACACCATGCCTCCTGATCAGTATTTTGCTTGGACTGTAATTGCTTGGGAGATGCCAGGTGGCATAAGCCTGAGTTCCAGAAAGGAAAGGGGGGCACCATAATTGTAAGTGGTTTCTAAAGTGGTGATAGCCAATATTCCTTGAGTCCAGAGCCAATATTGGGAGGGTAACAGTAAAAAAATTAAAATATCTGGGCATGCGGTACAGTTATTTTCCTTTAATTTCAGTCTCCATCCCTTTTAAAAACTGTATTTGGAAAAATCAGCCCACCCATTTCAAAAGGAGGCCGCACACAAATATGCCATATTGTGATGGAAGTCTTTCCAGCCGCTCTCTTAAGGCAGTAGTTCCGTGCACATGTTGGTGAGAGGCAGCTTCTGAAGCTGAAGAGCCCTTGGGTACCTCCCGAGAAGCAAGGAGGCAATCTGAGACCCAGAACCAAGCCAAAAGCTCACTCAGCCCCAACAAGAATGTCTCGTGTTTAAATTCAAGACCGGTCAAGGTGCTTTGTTCAGACGATTTCCTGCCACATAGTCCTGGCAGGTGATAAATGGCTGTTCTTCCTGTGAGTGCCCTGCCTCGGTGGAACAGATATAAAACCTCGCCCAAATGATTCGTCGAGTCCAGTATGCCAGAAACTAAGGGGAGAGGAAGCAGCCAGCTGAGGAATCACAGGTCACCTTGTCCAATTCCAGACAGATTTCAGAGGATGAGCCCCAAACATTAAGCCCAAGTTTTTGTTCAAACACAATATTTTTTTGAAAATATGTTCTCTTAGCATAGACATTCCAAATCCTATGTGCCTAACTCCAAAGATAAAGCCCATACCTTCTGAAGGGCTTTTGGGTCCCCGTGTAAAACAGAATAAATATGATCACTGGGCTGTTGTGAGAATTTGAAGCACATAGCAAGAACTTCATGGATTATTTATTAGTCTTGAAAAAGATGGCAAGAATCCTTGAATTTTATGGAAAAAAATGTTATCCTTCACAAGCTGTGAGGTGTGAGCCCACTGGGGTTTCCTGGTCCTCCCAGCTCAGAGTTATTTCTCAGAATTAAGGACTTGATAAAAAGGAATTCAGGCCGGCGGTGGTGGTGCACGCCTTTAATCCCAGCACTGGGAGGCAAAGGTAGGTGGATCTCTGTGAGTTCGAGGCCAGCCTGGTCTACAAGAGCTAGTTCCAGGAAAGGCTCCAAAGCTACAGAAAAACCCTGTCTCGAAAAACAAAAAAAAAAAAAAAACAAAAAAACAAAACAAAACAAAACAAAAAAAGAATTCAGAAGGGGACCATTAAGTATTGGGATGGGGGAAATCAAACAACTTTGTCCAAACTCTGGAAACTGCCACTCTACACCATCTTCTTCATTTTTTCGTGAATCTTTTATTATAAACTTTGATCTACAAATAAAAAACAAATGACCAAGAAAGGGCTACAGTGAAGTCTTCCTCTTTAGGGATCTTTTGATGCAAGGTCAGGAGCAAAGCAGTTGCTCTCCCGGCAGAATCTCTGGAGCACACATTGCTGAGGATTTCAGGCATATCACTTTCGAGATCTATTAACCTAATCAATAGGTTGCTGCCTCCCAGCCACTGTCTTCTCTCCCAGACTGAACTTGCTCAGCCCCTCGAAACTTTATCTACCATATCAATCCCAATGCTGGAATGTTATCATCCACTGCAGAAATAAACTGTAAGACGGGACCCATTCTGGCTCCTATAACAAAGTATCTTTGACTAGATCATCTCTAAATCACAGAAATTTGTTGCTTTCTGTTCTGGCTGAGAAGTCCAAGATCAAGGTGCCAGGAGATTGAGAGCCTAGGGAGGGCTTATTTTGCCCATTTCAAACACGATGCCTTCTTCCTTCATCCATATGAATCCAAAGAAAACCTGAACAAATTCTTCACACTTATCCCATTCTCCCCGCTCTTAATTCCAGCCTAAATCCTCTCAACTTAACCTGCTTCATGTATTCCTAGATGCTTGCTTTTAACTGGTTTTAAAAGCCACCAATTTCAGAGCTGACATTTGTGTCATTGTAGTTGTTGAAGTTTGATCATGAAAGCCTAAACCACCAATTACTTCCTAGTTTTTAATCTCTTTTCTCCATGCCCCAGTCCGAAAATATTCTAAATATTCTACACCCTGTCGTCTCTGTGTTGGTTATAATCTTCACTGTCAGCTTGACTGAACTGAGATATGCCTCGGGAATTAGTGAAGCAATTCTCAGTGTGATGATGTTTCCAGAGTAGATCTCGAGGACTCTGACCTAATAAACGGAATAATCCTCTGATGAGTCACAGTCTAACACGGTTTTACCAGTAGGGGATGAGAAGTAAGAAACGGAGCCTTGCTGGAGGATTTAAGTCACTAGGAGCATGTCCTTGGATGCTGTCTTGCTCTGGCCTCTTCCTATACCCTCTTTTCTCTGCCTCCAGTCTGTCATGATGTGAGCTGCCTGCTCTACTTCCTGGGGACCAAGGTGTAAGGTGCTTCATCCAGCACGCCCACCCTGCCATGGCACCCTGGCACCCCTGGAACCCTGAGCCAAAATCAACCGTCCCTCCTGTGAGCTGTTTGTGTCACTTTGTCACTAATACACTTGAGGAGGCAGGCACCAAACTCGCCCTCTCATCCTCATACACCTCTAGAATCATCTCTCTTTGACAAAGCTCATCTCAGCGATAGGCATATTTTGAGCCGGGCAGAACAGGACCAGTGGAAGAGGCAAACGGAACCTGCCACATCACTTTTATAAAGATATTGATCCCATTCAGGAAGGCAGTGCCCACAGGACATAGCCACCTCCTAAAGGCCACACTTCTTAAGACTTCTATTGGAAGTCAAGTTTCAACATACAAATTTTAAAAGGACACCAGCATTAAGATGATCACAGCCCTCAAATATGCTAGGCCCTTGGAAGCCCTCGATCCCTTCAAACGTCTCGGTTGCGTTGTTGGGCCTCCTTGTGTAGAGACCACTTGTTACTTTTGAAAGGTGCCTATCATGCTAGTTAGGTTTAAAAAAAATTAACAGACATTCAAACATCAGCTCAAAATATGCAAAAACGTCTTCAGAATGTCCTGTTCTCCTACAGTAATATTTTGGGGGTGGTATGTCCGGAGTTCTAATACTATCCAAGCCTATTCTTCATTCAGATGTAATCCTAGCACTGGGGAGAATCTGAGCCAGCCTGGGTTAAAGTGAGTTCCAAATCAGAATGGATTATACAGCAAGACTCAATTTTAAAAATTAATAAAATAAAATAAACAAAAGACATGAGAAAACCAACTGACACAGTGGAAGTTTCGGGAAGGAATGAAAAGATGCCACGGGGCGGAGGGAACATGTCTAGCACCAAGCTACCTGCCTGCATCCTTAAGGATGGGAATAAAGAGAAGGCAAGGGCTAGTTCTCACAGAGATGGGGGCGCAATATCCACCTTAAGGAGTCCGGGTCTTTAAAAAAAATAAAGGTTGAACTCTGGAGAGTTGCAGGCTTGAGGTCTGTCTGGGCTACAGAATGAGTTCAAGACCAATTCAGGCGATTTATGAGACATCGAACATCAGCCCGATCTCCACTATCACGATGGGGAGAAAAGGAAAGGGATGCCAGAAACTGGTTTTTGAAAGTCAGTGTCACTAGCAGATTTACCTTCCTCGGGTTTCAGTGCAGCACCGGTCCTGGGGTTTTGCCCACCAGTTTCAGCCCGGCAACAGAGCCAGGCACCCTGTGAAGATGGCTCTTAGCAACGTTTGTTGTTGGGCTTTGCTCACGGGGCGGGACTTGGTGATGTCTGGGATACAGACTGAGGAAAGCTTGTGAAGGAAACAAAGCATCAGAGTAGACAACCTCACCGGTAGGGTCAAGAAGCAGGGCGGCAGGGACCCGCCTGTACTGTTCCACGCGCATGCTTCCAGATCTTCCGGTCCCCAAGCTTGCTGTAGGAGCAAGACTGTGTGGTCTAATAAGTCAGACGGGACATGCTGCTTTGCGAAGGCTACAATTGCACAGGTGAGGTCACAGCCCAGACAGCAGGGCAGAGGATAGCTTGAAGCCATCCATCTGTGGTGGCCATGTCCACACCTCAGAAGTATCTGACCCTGGGGCCAGGCAACTTGCCTCCCTGCAGTTTTATGAGTGACCCTATTCAAAAGGCTCTAGCAGTGGACATTAATGCTTTGACCATTCCTCCCAACAGCCCCTAGGTCCCCACCCATTAACACATCTGCTGGTCACCTTCCTTTTCCCAAATAGTTTCTGCCCTCACGTCTTGGTTTTTGGTGTATTTTGCTTTGGGTTTTTGTTTGTTTGTTTGTTTGTTTTAGACTGATCATGTAACATCTGTCTTTCTGGGTGTGGTTTCTCTGTCTTAGCATGTTGATTTTCAGTTCTGTCGGTTGTCCAGTAACAACCTTTTTTTTTTCATTTTTTTGTGGATAAGTAATACTCCACTATTAATACAGACTTCATTTTCTTTATCCATTTACATGTTGATGGGCATTAAGCTTTATTCTATGTACTAACTATTGTACAGAGTGCCCAAATAAACATAAGTGTATAGATATGTCAAGCGCATGCTGAGTTAGATTCTTTCTGGTATTTAATTAGTCCTATAGCTACATAGTCTTTGTGGGTTGTTGAAGCATGATTAATAAAAAGTCAGAGATAGAAATTGGGGTTCAACCTAAAGGTCAGAAAAGCAAAACAGCCAGCCACTGGCTCTTACCTCTACCTCAGTCTAAAAATGGTGATCTTGCCTCCAGGAATCTCAGAATGAGGCTGTGTCTGAGAGCTGTCTCCTCTCATTTTATAATCCTCTCTAGGGCTAGGATTAAAGGTGTGCACCACTGGGATTAAAGGCATGCACCCACCACCCAGTATTTATGGCAACTAGTGTGGCTATTGGGATTAAAGGTGTGTGTCACCACTGCCTGGTCTGTAAAGCTGACCAGTGGAGCTGTTTTACTCTCTGATCTTCAGGCAAGCTTTGTTTATTAAAATACAAATGAAATGCCACTACAGGTTGTTTGGTTTTGTTTTTGAGACACCTGCATGCTGATTTCCATGGTGGCTGCATTTCCTAACAGTTCCGTTACCAGCATTTATTGTTGGTTAAGACATGTGTCTTCTTTCTTGAGCTCATCAATGACCCCCTATATAATCAAGACTGTACTTTTGGCAGTCAAAAGTGTTATTTCATGCCAGTAATCCCATCATGTAGAGACTGAGTCAGGAGGATTGCTACATGGTAAGTATATTCTAGGGCAGCATAGGCTACAGAGTAAGACCTTGTCTTCCCATAGAGTGTATATTGCTCCTTCTCTGTGTATAGCTACAGCTTCTGCAGATGCCACTTATTCCTAGTTTGATTCCATTGGGATCTGGTACAATAAAAAAAAAAGAAATTGCTTCAATCTTGTTGTATTTGTTAAGATTTGTGGCCTAAAAAATGGTATTTTAAAGAAATTCTATGCGCTACTGAGAAGAAAATGTATTCCACAGATGTTAAACAATCTATAGATGTTTCTAAAATCCTCTTTATATCTATGGTGCATTTTAACTCTGAAGCTTCATGCTCTTTAGTCTGGAAGATCTCTCTACTGCTGAGAGTCAGGGATTAAAGTCACTCACTTTATTATCTGTGCCTGTATGTCCCCTTTGTAATAGTAAGGGTGGAGAGATGTCCCATCCACTAAGAACACTTGCTGCACAATCATGAGGACCAAAGTTCAGATCCCCACCACCAGGGAACAGACCAGGCATCCAGCATGTGCTTTTAACCTCAGCTCTGAGTCCAGCAGAGACAGAAGGATCCCTGGGGTTTGTAGGCTTCCTACTAGATAACTGAAAAGGACAATTGACAGCTTCCTTCTGGTCCTACATTATTGGCACCTGCCAGGTGTAAGGGTAGTTTACAGATGGACTCGTTGTAGTTGTTCCTACCATTAAAACTGGTGTACTGGGGGCAGCACAGGTCTTTCCTTCCTGTACCAGAAGCCACTTGTGGTTCCCGTGAACTCTGTGGCCTGTGAGTCAGGTAGGTTCCCACAGGCCCCTTAGCTGTTCATTCCAGAGTAGCAGTGTATTTGACTACAGAAACAACAAACAGAACACCGAGATATGCACTAGACAGGGGACACTGAGACAACCTAGCACTCTTCCCGTCTCGGGGTTTGCAGATCCCACCCAACCGGAGCCAGAGCCCTGGGGCTGGGCTGGGAGCATGCATCACTCTCATGCATGGCAGGTAGGCCATACCAGGTGCCAAGCGACAGCCTCAGGGATATCACTCTGCGCAGGATTTTGGGTCTTCCTTGCCACGAGCCAGTACCTCTGTCATCATCAAAACACACTGTTACTTTCCAGTGAATCCACTGGTTGGGGCAGCGTCTTGGTGTTTTATTGTGGTTTGGTTTGGTTTGATTTAGACAGGGTCTCCAGTGGCCTCACCGCATCAGAAGATGACCTTGAACTCCTGACATCCTCCTGCCTCTACCTGCCAAAAGCTTGGATTGCAGATATGTGCCACCACGCCTGCCTAGGCCAGTATTGTTTGAAAATAGGTTCAAATAAACAATAACCTGAAAAGCTGAAGGCTGACGTTTGTAGGGAAAGTACAAGACTTTGAACAACTAAAGAGCACAGCCCCTGCACAGCCCATAAAACCACGGACTTGGCTTTTTTGTTGAGTTTTTTTGGGGGGGGGTGTTTTTTGTTTTGTTTTTTAGTGATGTGTGAACATGTATGTTGGGGTGTGTATTATGAAGTATGTGTGGAGGTCAGAGGACAACTTTGTGGAGTCGTCTCTCTCCTTCCACACTTGCGTTGGCCCTAGGGGTCAAACTTTGATCATCAGGCTTGCATAGTAAGTTGAAGCCAGCCTGGAATACACAGCAGTCTGGCGGGGGGGGGGGGGGGGGAGGAAGGGGGGGAGAAAGGGAGGGTAAGGAAAGAAAGGAAGAGAGAGAAAGAAAGGAAGAAAGAAAGAAAGAAAGAGGATATGAAGGAAGGAAAAAAGAAATCTGTTATTTTCATCTTGAGAGGATTAATTGGCTCCTGTTTTAGCCCATTTTAATGACTTCATTTTTATTTCCTTTGCCTCCTTTATAGCCCAGGGAAAATGTCAGATGTTGTAGCTATTTGGGACGTTATTTTAAGTGATGGAATCCACAAGATTGAGTTTGAACATGGGACCACATCAGGAAAACGAGTCGTATATGTGGATGGAAAGGTAGGAAAACATAATGAGACTGTAAAAGCAGCTCATACTCCCCCCTCTCTCCCTCTTTCTTTGAGATGCGGTCTCCCTGTGGATCTCCTAATAATTTGCTGTATAGACAGGACTGATCGAGACCTCATAGAGAACCTCCTATCTCTCACTCCCCAGTGCTGAGATTAAAAGCACACAAGACTATATCACCTTGTTTTCTTAAGCTTTTGTTTATTTATTTGTTTGTTTGCTTGTTTGTTTTATTGGGTAAGGATGTTTTGCCTGTCTGAATGCAGGCACACCACACGTGTGTCTGGAATCCTCTGAGGACAGAATAGGGTATCAGATCCCTTGAGCCTGCAGTTACAGACAGTTGTGAGTTGCTATGTGGGTGTGGGTATTGAACCTGGGTCCTCTGGAAGAGCAGTAAGTACTCTTAACATGGAGCCATCTCTTCAGCCCTGAAGCTTGGTTTTATTGGTGTAGCTTCTTCATATATAAAATCAGGGCTTTTTTTTCTGACAATGGTTATGTTTTTCACCTATTTATTTTTCTATATAAAGCAATCCAGTGGTAGGTACAGAAGGATACAAGAATATGAAATCTGGTATTTAAACTTAAAATGACCTTTTCTTTTCAGACAGGGTCTAAGTAGCACTGGCTGTCCTAGAACTCACTGTGTACACAGGCTGGCCTTGAACTCACAGAGATTCACCTTCATCTGCCTCCCAAGTGCTGGAATTAAAGTTATGTGCCACCACACACAGAAATTTTTTTAAAAAAAACTTTGATATTATGAATTCATAAAGTACAAACAACATTGCGTTTTGATCATTTCCTAGTGTTTTATTGCTTTGAAGAGGCATCATGACCAAGGCAACTCTTATAAAAGAAAGTGTTTAGTTAGGGCTTGCTTACAATTTCAGAGGTTTAGTCCATTATCAACATGGCAGAAAGCACAGCAGTAGACATGGCAGGAATGGTGCTGGAGAAGCAGCGGAGAGTTCTCAGCTGATCCACAGGCAGCAGGAAGAGAGAGTGAGCCTCTGGGCCTGGCAGGAGCTTTTGAAACCTCAAAGCCCATCCCCAGTGACACACTTCTGTAGTAAAGAGGCCACTTGTTTGTTTCCGAGCTGCCTGGCTGCTCAGACTCGAAATAATCACACAGAAACTATATTATTTAAATTACTGCTTGACCCATTAGCTCTAGCTTCTTATTGGCTAACACTTAGATCTTAATTTAACCCATCTCCATTCATCTGTGCATCACCAAGAAGTTGCGACCTACCAGCAAAGCTTCAGGGTGTCTGTCTCTGGTGGCAGCTCCCTGACTTCTCTCTGACTCTGCCTTCTTTCTCCTAGCATTCAGTTTAGTTTTCCCTGCCTAGCTAAATTCTGCCCCGCTATAGGTACAAAGCAGCTTTATTCATTAATAGTAATCACAGCATACAGAGGGGAATCCCACATCACACTTCCTCAAACCAGGCCACATGTCCTTTTTTTTTGCTTTGTTTTGTGCCATTTTGTTTTTTGAGACAGGGTTTCTCTGTGTAGCTTTGGAGCCTGTCCTGGAACTCACTCTGTAGACCAGGCTGGCCTCGAACTCACAGAGATCCGCCTGCCTCTGCGTCCTGAGTGCTGGGATTAAAGGCAGGCGCCACCACCACCTGGCAAGGCCATACTTCCTAATTCTTATAATATTTTCCACCCACATCAAGCACCTTGAAGTTTTTATTATTTCTTACATGTTATATATTAAGGTTTCCTTGGAATCCAACATAAGTGTCACCACCTCTTTATGGTGCTACACTAGGAACCAAGTTTCCAGGACATGCTATGTTAGGAACAGAACTTCCATTCAGTTTTACCCAGACTACAGCATGTACTCACAGACAAACACTAACATCCTTAGTTTAGCCAAACAGACACATAAAATTAACCTGTAGGTAGCCCTTGGGAGACCTACATGTCCCTTTTACTATGTCATTATTTTGATGTAGCATAACTCTTTTACTTTTGGATCTAAGGTTTATTTAACTTTATGAGTTTTATCCTGAATATTATCCTTAATTACACCTCAATGAGTCCTTTATACCTCATGAATTATTGGATCGTTAGCTAACATTTCAAAGATTATTCAGCCTTTTAGAAATTCTGTCATATTCTGTCATAGTCCTTTACGCTGTAAAGAGAAAGAGTCAGATTCTTTTTATCCCCATTCTTTCTCATGCTTTGAGTTTCATTTTTGAAAGAGATGAATGAAAAATATGGACAATAAAATGTGTGAAGAAAAAGTTAAACTTCCCTCTGTGTGTACATTTTAACCTATTTTATTTGGTCGTCTAGGAAGAGATAAGAAAAGAGTGGATGTTCAATTTAGTGGGCAAAGAAACCTTCTGCATTGGAGCTAGAAAAATCAAAGCCACCATACGTATACTTCCTGTCAAAACTTATGTTTTGAAATATATTCTGGAAATTGAGGGAAAAAGCTTCAAGAAGTATGTGGAAAACAGAGCAAAGACCACCAACACCTGGGTGCTGCACTTGGATGGCGAGAACTTTAGAATTGTTTTGGGTGAGTCAGGCCTGTTTTTGCAGAATTTTTTTTTTTTTTAGATTTATTTTTTCATTATGTGTACAACATTCTGCCTGCACATATCACTGCAGGCCAGAAGAGGGCACCAGATCTCATTACAGATGGTTGCAGGTCACCATGTGGTTGCTGGAAATTGAACACAGGACCTCTAGAAAAATAGCCACTGGCTGGGCGATGGTGGCGCACGCCTTTAATCCCAGCACTCGGGAGGCAGAGGCAGGTGGATCTCTGTGAGTTCGAGACCAGCCTGGTCTACAGAGCTAGTGCCAGGACAGGCTCCAAAGCCACAGAGAAACCCTGTCTCGAAAAACAACAACAACAACAACAAACAACAACAACAACAAAACCGAAAAATAGCCACTGCTCTTAACCTCGGAGCCATCTCTCCAGCCCCTGAATTTTTTTAATTGAAAATTCATAAAATACATTCTGCAATATATTCTGATAAATGGTTTCTCCTCCTCAATCTTCTGTCAGATCCTCCCCACCTCCCCACCCATCCAATGCCATGCTTTTTAAATCTCTTTAGAAAACAAACAGGTAAATTTTTAAAAAAGCAAACAAAGCAGAATTTAAAAACTGGAAAAAAAATCACAAGAAACACATGCACACAGGGACACACAAACAAAAAAATAAAAACACAAAATTGGAACCCCTAATACACAAGCAAAAGACCTATAAGATTTTTTTAAAAAACCCAGACAAAGTGATATGAGAAAACAAATCTATAAGAACACCACTGAGTGTGTTTTGTGTTGGTCACTGCTGGGTGTGGGGCCTACTGATAAGTGTGGGTTTCTAGAGCCAGTAAAACGTCATTGGGAGAAAACTGATTTTCTTTCTTTGCCAGCAGTTGTCAGTTGGAAATTACTTCCTGCTTGTGTCCCCTTCTCCCTCTCAGCTCTGTCACCCCGTTTAGCTTGAACCCACACAGACCATATTAGATTTTTACAGTGACTATCCAGTCCTTCCTTCCGCAGAGTTAAGTGAGAGATTTGAGTAGGAGAAACATCGCAGGAGCCACCTTTTCCTCAGGCTTCCATCGAGCAGGTCATCATCCAATATTTAGTCAACACTCAAGGTTTTGTTTGACAGGAGAATAATTTATTTTTACATAAACGTGAAGCTTTTTATTTCTCTCGTTATTTCACAAGGAAAGATGTTAAGGGACAGTTCAAAGGAGAATTTCTAAACAAAACACAGAGCTGGAGAAGTGGGGTGGTGGTACAGCACCTGCCAAGCATGTGCCACGCCCTAGGTCTGGGCCCCAGTTTCAAGATGAAAGCAAAAGCAAAATCATCCCCCCCCCCAAAAAAAAACAAGAAAACTGGGGAAAAAAAAACAGAAAAAATGAACAAAATCAAACATATACATATAGGCAGTAATACATATATATGTTCACATGCAATTATATGTGTACATACATACTTGGGTGCTCAGGAATGCTGAAATGGGTTTGCAGACAGATGGGAAACTATTGGGTGTCAACAGAGAGGGTGAGATTCATTTGCGTTTCTGTGGACAAGAGTTAGTTTCAGTACTATCATTATTATAAAATTGTGAACCATCTCAAGGCTAAAAGGTGGAGGCAGCAGTAAAGCAGACGCTGACACAGAACAGGAGGAACTGGGAGAGATGGGCCAGCAGTTAAGAGCACACACTTTTCTCTCAGAGCTCAGATCCCAGCACCCATATCCAGTGGCTCAAAACCACCTGGACCTCTAGAGCTAGGAACTGGCCATCCTCATCTGGCTTCCTAGGGCAGTTACACTCCTGTGCACATACTCACAAACAAATGCATACATTTAATGAAAATTAAATTAAAAAAAAGGGTTACAGCCAAGCCTGGTGGTGCACACCTTAATCCCAGCGACAGGAAGAAGAGGCAGGAGGATCTCTGAGCTTAAACCCAGCTTGGTCTACATAGAGAGTTCCAGGTCTGTTTTGAGAAACAAAATCAAAAGGCAAAAAGGTTTTAAAAGTTAGAAATGTAAGGTTTATTAGTAAGATAAGATTTTAGGCAGGCGGTAGTGGTGCATGCCTTTAATCTCAACTCGGGAGGCAGAGGCAGGTGGATCCCTGTGAGTTCGAGGCCAGCCTGGTCTAGAGAGTGAGTTCCAGGACAGTTAGAGCTGTTACAGAGAGAAACCTTGTCTCAAAACAACAACAACAACAACAACAACAACAACAACAACAACAAAAATCCAGAGAGAGAGAGAGAGAGAGAGAGGAAAGCTATCAATTCCAGCTAAAGATTTTTTTAAAAAATGTTGTCCTATTTTCTCTTCTGTTGTGATCAAAACTGTGACCCAAAGCCACATGAGGAAGAAATGTTTCTTTTAGCTTGCAAGTTATAGTCCATCTTGACAAAAGTCATGCCAGGAACTCAAGTCAGGAACCTGGAGGCAGGAATCATGAAGAAGCACTGCTTGCAGGCTTGCTCTCTCAGCTCCTTCTTCCACATCCATCCTAACTCAAAACATTCCATCACAGACATGGCCACAGACCAGTCCGATTTAGGAAATTGAGGCTCCCTCAGATGACTATAGGCGTGTCAAGTTGGCAGCTGACATTAACTAGGACAAACGTATATGTGTCATCTATATGGTGTACATGATATACATGTAATATATGTACATGTGCACATTGTGTGTGAGTGCTCTAGGGTGCCACATAGAGGCCAGAGGACAGCCTTGGGTGTTGGTCCTGGCCTTCCATCTTGTTTGGTTTCTTCTGATACAGCAGGTTAGCTAGCGCACAAGTTAGGGGATTCTCCTGGCTCTGAATCCCATCTCACCATAGGAGGATGGAGTCTAAAGACCCAAGACACCCATTGGAGCTTTATGTGGGTTCCAGGGTTCCATTTCTAGTTTCCATGCTTGCGTGGTGACTGTTTTACCCGCTGATCCATCTCTCCTACCCAGTAGGATTTTCAAAACTAGCCTTCTCACTTCTAGTCTTCCTACTTCTGTTCCCATCACTAAATCAAATTTACTATGATCATGTTAGTTCATCTATTAAGACCATATCTGTTAACTATCTCGAAAATAGCAGTTAGTCTACCAGTACCAGGCACTGAGAATACACAGATATCCATGCCTTTCCCTTCTATTGTTAAACTGAAGGCTAGCAAATAGCTTTCATTTACTAATTCCTAAAAACTTCTAGATTAGCATACAAAGTATTAGATATCATTGTTGCAGTTTTGAACAAAGTGGCTCTTTGTTCATTGTTTTGTTTTTTGAGACAAGGTTTCTCTGTGTAGCTCTAACTGTCCTGGAACTCACTTTGTAGGCCAGGCTGGCCTCAAACTCACAAAGATCCGCCTGCCTCAGCCTCCTGAATGTTGGGATCAAAGGTGTGCACCCCCACTACCTGGCTGAACAAAGTGACTTTTTAAAAGTTTATTCATTTTTATTTTATGTGTAAGTGTCTACATTTATGTATGTGTGCTACTTGCAAGTCTAGTGCCTGTGAGACCAAGAGAGGACACCATATCTGAGACTAGAGTTATAGCCACCATGGGGGTGCTGGGAAAGAAACCTGGGTCCTCTACAATAGCAGCAAGTGTCCCTAACTTCTCTTCAGTGCCCCACCGCTACCCCTTTGAGGCAGAGTCCCACTGTGTAGTCCAGACTGACTTCAAAGTCATAGAGATTTAAGAGATTCAAACCGGTCTACCTCCCAAGTGCTGGAATTAACAAAACAGCTTTTTTAAAAAATTATTATTTAATGAAAAAAGTCTATCAAGCCAAGAAAGGTAGTTCATGCCTTTAATCATACTACTCAAGAAGTTGAAGCAGAAGTATTGGTTGCAAGTTAGAGGCCAGTTTGATCTACATAGTGAGCTCCAGGTCCACCCTATACTTCAGAATAAGAATAAGAGGAGGGGAGAGAAGGAAGAAGAGGAGGGGAGAGGAGAGGAAAGGAGAGGGGAGGGGAGAGGAGGGAAGAGGAGAGGAGAGGAGAGGAGAGGAGAGGAGAGGAGAGGAGAGGAGAGGGTGCCTGGAAATATAGTTCATAGAGTGCTTGCCTAGAATTCAGGAAGCCCTGAGTCTGAGTTCTACCACGACACATAACACACTGGTTTATTATGCCACATGACTGTAGTCCCAGAGAGACAGAAACAAGAGGGTCTGAATTTCAAAGTCATCATCCAGCCCTTGCCTCCTGAGTGCTGGAGTTACAGGCATGGGCCGCCAAACCCAGGTTTCTCTTTTCCTATTTGGGATAGAGAGTTCCAGCTGGCTGGGGCACTACCCTCTTCTGGTCTCTGTGGGCACTCGGCACACATGTGGTACACAGGCATATATGCAAGCAAAACACCCTTACACATACAAATTAAAACAAATACAAAAGGTTAACTTTGAATATAGAATTATAATATTTCAATGTTGTTCCTTTTACAGAGAAAAACACTATGGATGTGTGGTGCAACGGTAAAATAATAGAATCGGCGGTAAGTCAGCCCTTAATTATTCCTAGTGCGTGTGGATCAATGGCCAAATGTGACTGCATTTCCTTATTCTAGGACTTTTCTTTTTCCCTATGTAGCCCAGGCTAGCCTCAAACTCAATCCCCTCGCCTCAGCCTACTCGACACTGGCGTTGCAAGTGAGAACCGCCACCACCAAGTTCTAGTTCTGGTGATTCTATAATTAACCAAGGTAATCTTAGTAAAACCAAAAAGTGTAGGGATTGTCTTTTACTCTAAGTTCTGAAAATCTTTGCCAGACAGTTCCTGGGGCAGTGAGAGCCTGGAGACAACCTGCAGTCTGAGCTGGCATAGCCGCACACGTCACCTTGTCTCTCCTGGTTAGGCTTTTATCCTGAGAAGTGTTCACATTAAAAAAGTTCCTCCCCCAAGAGCTGCTGTCCTTGGGGGTTTGTTCCCCTAGAAATCACGTGTAGCAGTCCCCTGGGCACTGATGATAGGAGAATTCTAGCTTTCCGCCCTCTGCCTTGCCAGTGTTGCTGACGGCAGATCACACTTGGGTAGGAAGGCTTTGCCTATATCCTCAAAGCCACCACACTTTTCCAAAACTGAGGGGTTTTATTTGTTTTTTTTTTTTTAATATTTATTTCTTTATTATGTATACAATATTCTGTGTGTATGCCTGCAGGCCAGAAGAGGGCACCAGATCCCATTACAGATGGTTGTGAGCCACCATGTGGTTGCTGGGAAATGAACTCAGGACCTCTGGAAGAGCAGGCAATACTCTTAACCTCTGAGCCATCTCTCCAGCCCTGTTTGTTTGTTTTTTAAAAAGTAGTGATGTGCACAGTGTCAGACAATATGGAGGTAAACAACAAAGGGCCTCGTCACAAATGCCAGAAGATGAGCAGGATCTGTAGACCAGTATTGCAAAGGACTAGCTCTCTGTTCTGCTCACCTTCCCCATTACAGGGTCTAGTTGCTCCCACTCCAGGAGTAGGGAAGGGGGTGAAGGTGTGAGAGAAAAGGTTGTTTAGAGGGGAACTACTCAGCTGACCACCTCAAATCTACTCAATCTCATAACCGTCGGTCTGAGGAGGTTGAAATCAGCAGTAGCAAAGGTGTTTTCATTCTTTTGTTTGTTTGTTTTTGTTTTTGTCGAAGCGCGTGGGGGGGTGGCGTTCAAGACAGGGTTTCTCTGTGTAGCTTTGGAGCCTGTCCTGGAACTTGCTCTGTAAACTAGGCTGGGCTTGAACTCACAGAAATCCACCTGCCTCTCCTGGGATTAAAGGCAGGAGCTACCATCGCCCAGCGGCGTATTTTCATTTGTTAAGCCTGGCAGATGTAACCTGGTCTCTTGGGCTTTAGCTCCAGAATGTAAGGCCATCCTCGGAATAAAACTGCCGAGAGTAGTCTTGTTCATGCAGAGGTCCAGGGAGTTCTCCAGGCCCATATGGTCCCTGTAGAAGAGCGGTTATTACCAGGCGTGTGGTCAGGTACCTGCTGTGGGCTAACCACACAGACCTAGTGACCACGCCTCCCCTGGAAGTCTCTAGATACTCAGCCCGTTGCAATCACATTTCCTCCACTCTCAAGGAGTTCTCGAGTACCACTGAAAAGGCTGTTCTATGGCATTAGTGACATGTTTTTAAGGACTGGGAATGTCGTTGAGTACTTGACATTGAGTGTTGTAGAACACTCACCTAACCTGTGTAAGCTTCAGGGTTCCACGCCTATCCCTGAGGGAAAAGTGGTTTGAAATAAGGTAAAAATCGTTCACCCATTATGTCTCCGTTCCTTAGTAACAGACAGAAAACCAGTGTGAAAAAGTCCTTTGTAATCCAGTTGTTCCCTTCTTATAACTATAACTCAGCTGCAGAGCAGAGTGGACAGTGAGCTAGCCCAGCAGCCTGCCTCCACCCTGCCCCTGGCTGTACATACCTGCAAGGAGTGCTCGGGCTCCCTCCCTGAAGGTTTCTTTCTCCTTTGCATTTTTACCCCTAAATAGTATCACCCACATGATGCTTGTCAAGAAGCAGCTTACTGGGATTGTGTGGTTAACCCTTGTCCTGTCCTTCAAAGGCTTTCCCCAAGCATCGGTGTTAACGGGGTGAGGATCTCTGCACCCAAAGGTGTGCCTGGGTCAGTATTCAGTGCGTCTCCTTTCCCTTCTAGCTCTCTATCTGCTTGGTCTCCGGGATGCTCACAGTCAAGGGGTGCGGACAAGGGTGGAGGAGGGTCCATGTGTATTTTGTTTGTCTGAGTTTCCAGTGCTGGGACCAGACCCAGTGTGTTAAGCATGTTAAGTGAGCTCCCTAGTGTGAAGGCTTTGATCATGGTTTCCTTGATCTGTCCTCTAAGGCCTCCTCAACCTTCCTGATGCTTCAGCCCTTCAGTGTAGTTCCTCAAGTTGTGCTGACCCCTAACTATAAAATTATTTTTTGTTGCTACTCCCTAACTGTAATTTTGCTACTGCTATCAAAATCATAATGTAAACCTCTCTGTGTTTTCCAATGGTCTTAGGCAACACCCTCCCTCCCCTCATGGGGTCGCGACCCACAGGTTGAGAACTACGACTCTAAGGCTCTTCTTCCCCTCTCTCCACTGTTTCTATCTCCTTTCTGGAGATTGGTGCTGTTGCGCAGAGATAGAATGTGAACCATGAATCCAATTATTAAGTCTCATGTGTGATTTTAACATTTCAGCAGGCATGCTAAAAAAATTAAAGTTAATTAATTTTAATGTTTAATTTAAATCAAAATATCAAGACTTTAATTTAAATCAAAGTATTAATAAAGCCAAGGATGGAGACTCCTATCTGCAAACCCAGCATTTGGCTACGGGAGCACTGGAGCACTGAGGCAGGACAGTTACCATGAGTTCCAGGATGGCGTGGACTGCATACTTACATTAGAAGTCAGCCTGGGCTACAGAATAAGATTCTAGTTCAAAAAACAAAAGGAAGGAATTATAATCTAACATGTAATCAACAAAAGAAATTATTAGTGAGCTATGTACATGTATAGGTTCCCACTGGGCTTCAGATCAGGTATGTATTTTAAACTTCCGGTGTGGATCTCATTGCTAAGTAGACATATTTCTATGCTTGATAGTGGTGTTCGGTTTTCATTACTAAGTGTGTATTGTTTTTTTACAAACCACCTAATACCACAAATGAAGCAGGATTTTAAACTGGTTGAGAGTAGTCTCCTTGAAGAGTGCACTTTCAAGCCATCTACCTCTGTTTTCTCATCTGTCAAGTGGGCACAAGAGTACTTCTATCACGGTCACCATCATGGTAGAATTAAGTGGAGGCAAGAGGATCAGGAGATTAAGGCCAGTGAGTTCTGGCTTAACCTAAACGTGGCTACAGAGTAAGAACTTGTTTCAAAACCCCAAACAATTAGTGAATAAAGAAGAAAGAAATGAACTCTTGATTTATAACGGAATCATAAAGTTTTGTAAACATAAGCTTTAAGCTCTAAGTCTGCGATGCTAAAGTTTTACCAACACGTTACTATTTCACGCTACCACTGGTGATTTTAGACGTTGTGACTGCTCCAACAAAGCGATGTCTGGACACTGACGCTTCCTCCCTTGCTGTCCTAGGGCGAGTTTGTAGACGATGGGACTGAAACACACTTCAGTATTGGGAACCACGATTGTTACATAAAAGCCGTCAGCAGCGGGAAGAGAAGAGAAGGGATCATCCACACACTCATTGTGGACAACAGGGAGATCCCAGAGGTCTCTCAGTGACTGCTTCTTATTGAGTTCTGGGCTGAAGAGGTGACGTCAGGACTTACCATGGTAATTAAATGTGTTCACGCTGTACATATCTGTATATTTAATCTGTGATGTTTTTATTTTATCATTTGTTACTCGACACTGCAATATTCCAATGGTCAGAAAGGAAATGATGTAGAATCTAAATTAGGTGGAATTTAAAAAAAAAAAGTTTTAAACTTTTTATTTTTCTTATATCTGAGTACATGCTTGCATGCCACAGTGCATATATGTTGGTCAGAGAGAACTTTCTGGAATTGGTCCTCTCCTCCACCGTGTGGCTCCTGAGGGTTGAACTCAGGCTGACAGGCTTGGCTGCAAGCTTCCACTGAGCCATCTTGCTGCCCATAATTCATCTCATAAGTGATGTAAAAATGTTTTAAACTTAAATGGAAAATAATATAGAGGCCCAAATCAAGGACATTGTGCATCAGTAATCTTCACCAGAGCGCACCCTGTAAAATAAAATCTGTACCGTACCCCATGTGTTTCGACAAATGAACATGCCTTCATATTTTTTTTCTCCTGTGCAGACAGGTTGCCTCTACATTAAAGCGGGTGGTTAATAATGGTATATCCAGGAGTTTGTCGTTGTTATTTTGTTTTTTAAAGACAGGGTTTCTCTGTGTAGCCCTGGCTGTACCAGAACTCACTCTATAGACCAGGTTGGCCTCAAACTCAGAGATCTGCCTGCTTCTGCTTCACAAGTGCTGGGATTAAGGGTGTATACCGCCACCATCACCTGACTGATATATTCGGCTTAACTGGAAAAGATAACAAACATTTTCTATCTGAAAACATCAGATAGTGTCTCACAACAATTTCACTTCAAAATGTGTTTCTAAAATGGTCGCTGTTTAATCCATACCATGACAAAAATACAAGAGGAAAACTGGCAAGCCTGCTTACATCTGTTATGTTAGCTTTCCTGGGGGAAAAGTAGAGAAATGTCCATTTGCCTGATGTAGCATACCAACAGACCAAATGAATGATCCATCCAAGCTCAGTCTGATGAGCCTAGGAGCTTCCTGATGTTGCCTGCAGGACCAGGATGATTCCAAAGCTGTTGCGTCCCAGCTTCCTGGCAAACCTGCCACTTCCTCTGCTCTTGCACCTGAGAACCCAGTAAATCAGGACACAAAGGTGCCTGGAATCTCAAGCAAGGGTCTCCCGACCCTTTCCCCCATTTCTTCTCTGAAGGAATGTTAACCACCCCCATTACCACTGCCATAGACCTGGCTCTCCTTGCTTGTTTATTGATTTCATCACCGTGACTTCCAACCAAGAGCTTGTGTAGATGGCCACAGCCACTTCGTGGTGGCCATGCCATGCACAAAGAAAATAGCTTTACTGCAAAGATCCCAGGTGACATCAGACCGGACGCATCTTCAGGTGGGGTTTCAAAATCAGCACTTGGGGGCTGGAGAGATGGCTCAGAGGTTAAGAGCATTGCCTGCCTTCCAAAGGTCCTGAGTTCAATTCCCAGCAACCACATGGTGGCTCACAACCATCTGTAATGGGGTCTGGTGCCCTCTTCTGGCCATCAGGCATACACACAGACAGAATATTGTATACATAATAAATAAATAAATATTTAAAAAAAAATCAGCACTTACCCACCGGGCAGTTCAGGACCAGAGTGAGTGTCTCAGTGGCAGAGTGGAGCCCCCCACCTCCCGGGAAAAATTAAGTAAGAGGCAGCGTGATAGGTGCTCTAGCGTGGTTTGTGCCCCTCCCTGTCTTTGCAAGTCTTTAGGGTGCTCAGGAACTGAAACAGGGGGCTTCATTCTTGAGTCTGCTCGCAGGAGTAGACGCCTTCACAGAGAGAGCAGTTCTGAAAGGTGACTGATCACACACTTAGGAGTGTCTGAAGAGCAATTTCGCGCAGGCATAGCACAGCCTCTACACAGACAAGCAAACAGCGGAAATTAATTACTTCTCCACCAAGAAGCCCCATAAGAGCACTTGGCTTGCTGACAGATGTGCTGAAGCCTGCAGAGCACTGTGTGAGAGCCCAGACCTTAACGGAGTGGATCGCGGGCACTTCTTGTATTGCGTCGGTATTGCTGGGTTGATGAATCACTGCTTCTTGCTAAATTTTCATTGCCTGTGTCTCCCAATTTCATGCTCAAAGCTGAGAATTTCAAGTGGAGTCTATGAAATTAGACTTCATGTGTTTATTGTTTTGTTTTTTTGTTTGTTTTTGCTTTTTTTTTTTTTTCGTTTTTCGAAACAGTTTCTCTGTAGCTTTGGAGGCTGTCCTGGAACTAGCTCTTGTAGACCAGGCTGGACTCGAACTCACAGAGATCCACCTGCCTCTGCCTCCTGAGTGTTGGGATTAAAGGCGTGTGCCACCACTGCCCGGCCTGTTGTTTTATTTTAAAATAATTTCTGTATCAATTTTTTAAATTATTTCATAACCCTATTTTCAGTGTTTTTTAAACTAAATTTATATGGCTCAAACATATTATTTTAAATAAAATTATATGGCTCAAATGAGTCACCCTCTGTCTGTGGAAGTCACATATAGGATACGAGATTCCTTATACACATTTCAACCACTGGAACCTAAACAGTTTATACAGGGATTTAAGAAGCAGGATCACAGCCGGGAGGTGGTGGCACCTTTGGTTCAGGAACTCAGCGGACAAAGGCATGTGG